CTTAGAATAATATTATTCCGTAGTCAGGTGGTCAAAATGTACGTGCTTTATTGTAGTCTATATTCGTTTCATCAAATTCTTCAAATATTTCTCATTTTTCGTTCAACTGCAATAGCCGAAGAAAGATATTTTTCTCGTACCAACGGCAGTACTATGGTATGCGAATTTTGACTATTTTCGAAAACGAGATGGTCAATCCACGGTTTAGCACGTATTCATTGGCACCCATATTAATCTTGTACAAAATTCCAAAAAATTTTCAATACTTTTAACGTAGCCAACAAGAACCTCAAATAGGGAGCAAACGTTACAAGCATTCTTCTTCAGTTATACAGCGGAGGTAAAGAATCAGGTAGTCACGGAAGTTGATTTATAAACTTCGCCCGAATGGAATATTTATAGTACCGTAGAATTGATGGCCCCAGAGCGAACGGGCGTCGACATAAAAAAAAAAAAAGAAAAGGGGCGCGTGACCGGTGTTCGTAAGCGCGCGATTATGAAGCAGGGGGTTGGGTGGCGCCGGAAAGTTTCCGTTCTCGCTTTCGCGGAGAAGTTGATACAATAACCCAAATCGCTTGGGATCGTCGCGGGACCTTGACACTCGGCGCAAGAAACCGATCCGAAAGCGTGAAGATCACTGCGGCACATCGAGTTCCGCTTCGACTGCAGTTTTACCGAGTGATTTTACGTCGCGGACCGTGGAAAGAAGCCGCGGGAAAAAGCAGTCTACCAGCCGCTTAAATTGATTACGGCTCGGGTATACACTATGAGGCGAAATGTTTAAACGTAATCCAAGCTGCTATTTTTTCCTCACAGGTTCTCGTTCCGCGTAAACCTTTTTTACCCCAGGCGTGACATTATGTCACTTAACCGGCACGTAACGAACCGGGTAGACGGGAGACTGTAATTTAGAAGAAACCTGTGACGAACCGAGCGGGAAACTCGATGCGGAATGATGATAACGTTCAAGCGAGTAATACATAATTCGTAATCCTTCCCCCGATTAAAACTGAAAAACTAGAGCGAAATGAAAAATGAATATAAACGATAATTAATTTGCAGATTGCATGCATTTATAGAGAAATGATAAAAATATCAAAAGATGCGTATCGCAATAGTTAAGGGATGAAAGAAATTTATCCCATAAATAATTTTCTAAAACTGAATATAAATGATAATTAATTAGCAGATTGCATGCATTTCTAAAGAAATGATGAAAATATCAAACGCAATGCTTGATGGATAAAAGAAATTGCCATAGATGTTTTCCTAATTCTGTTACACATTAAATTGAATGACAATTGGGAAATAAAATCGTCTGCCTTCTCGGTCGTTAGAGAGATGTTCCTCTTTCGTGACTTCTGGAAGCTATGAACGATCCCCTTTGTAGCCAGGGCGAAGTGGGGAGAGCGTTTAAAGTGGGGCCCTTTGATACTTGTACGAGAACGAGTGTATAACGAACGTGTTGTATACTTTACGAGCCACTTTGCATTTGATCCCGATGAAAAATTCATTAGACGTAAGACGCGTGGAAAAGCTCCTCGGGTCAAAAATAACTCGCGTTCCATTAATTAACCTAATCCTCTTTGCACATACTAAGAGAGACAATAGATATTTTTTACGAGTAGGCTGAAAAATTCATTTACAAGAACTGTGATAAAACTATAAAATATCAAAACTGATTAAATGATAAAGAAATTTCAGTCTGAAAATTTTAATTAACCATAAAAATCGGCGGTCTGCTCGTCTCGCTCGGTCTATATTTTTCTGAAGATTTCAAATGCTAATAAGCGTAAATTCTACTAAATAATGTAGACGAGAGAGGAAGCTAACGAAGGCGGGAGGAGCGAAATGGAAGAAGGCCGATCGATTCCCACGCCGCGACGAATCTATCGATGTCGTTTCTCAAATCGAACCGCGCCGGTACCCCACCCAGCTTCGACGAATCGCTCCAGGGAATAGTGTAACACCTCCGGGAGGTCCGGCATACGCGCGGTTATGGTAACTGGCTCTACGAGTCGCAGCGAGGTCCTTAAAGGTCGATAATGGCCCGTGGGGGCCCGAAAGGGTCCAGGATCAAAAGGACCGATGTCCCCGTTTCAGCGCCGCCTCGACTGCCGTAAGCTTGCGGTCGATGGCCCGGTTGTGTGTACCCGCCGGAGAAGTTATTACCCTAAAATATGGTCCGCGCCGTCGTCGGAATACGCCCGATGAAAACATTAACTCGGGGACTACGGGCACGGCGAAGGTGTCACCGGAGAGCCGACGCTAGGCTCACTAATGGCCTCGAACCGTCACCGAGAGACCTCAAGTTTTCACGGTTCGAGATTCCCAGTAACAACGATTCGTAAATTTTTTATAATCGAATATGCAACCGATAGATAAGGTAAATGTCCCAATTTCTCCCTGACGTAGTTTTTTTATAATTATAACCCGATAAACGTCTAAAATAAGTACAACAAAAAATGTTTTTAATTATTTCTCAACATTGTTATGTTCGGTGACATAATACGCTAGAACACCGCAAGTACAAAACTGTCACAACATTTTGTGCTTTCATTGCTACGCTTCTCATTAAGAATACGTCTCAACGAAATTAAGTATGTCAAATGGCACAGAGGAGCTTTCAATATACAAAAGGGTAGTGTTTAGAAACTGTTTTCTTTTATAATAATAAAA